TGATTTCTTTCAGGGCCTCGACACTTGTGAAGAGTGACAGCCAACTGTGTTGTGGAAAGTGTGTTCATTTGGGCTTGTTTATGTGGAGGAAATGTGGTTGTGTTCATGGTGGTGTTGGCTTCGGTCCAGACGCTTGCACTGTAGTTATACACACTCACACTATCACAGTCTCTCTGACACACGTGTTCACTCTTTCACACACAGAGCCCCCTCTGGTGCCTAAAACACACCCCAGGACTCCCACAGCCTGGCATGGACCTGGAAGGACCACCAGAGACCTTCCCTCAGGGTCGTGTCCACACTGTGAGCTCCTGATAGGAGCTCAGAGCTTGGGAGGGATGTCGACAGCTCCAGCCTCCGTCACTGGACCGCTCAGCGCAGGAGTGAGCCTGCCAAGTGCTAAGTCACTTTGGTCGTATCTGACTCTTTGCCACCCAAAGGACTGTAGCCCTCCAGGCTCCTCTGTCCATGGAATTTTCCCAGCAAGAATACTGGAGTGGGTTGCTGTTTCCTCCGCTAAGGGATCTTCCCAACCCAGGGATCGAGCCCACATCTCCTGCATTGGTAGGCGGATTCTTTACCACTAGTGCCACCTGGGAAGAACATCTTTTCAAAAACATCTTAACAGGATTTCTCTCCCAGGCTTCTCACTCCCTGCAGTCCCTCTGGCACTTTCTAGCTCCATGCGGCTCCTCTTTTCCGTCATCTAGTCAGAAAGCTGGAGCTTAATTATTCCACAGTGCTGCTTACTTCCCACCACTGCAGCCACACCTGGGGTCATGAGGTGGGAAGATCTAGAGAAAAATGTCAGTGGGTTTTTTACCCCACAGGCTTGGGGTCACAGATCCTCTGACTGGAGAGGCCAGTTCCCTTCTCTCAGAACTTCAGGCGTGTTGTGGCCTGCTGAAGTCGTGATTTTCCCCTCACTGAGTTAGCCCAAGAGGGAGTCAGGTCTTCTGTCCATGCTCACTTTCAGGATGTGGGCCATCTTGGGAATCCCCTCGTGGTCTCGTGGTCAGGAACTCAATGCTCTCAATGCTAGCGCCGGGTTCAGTCCCTGGTCAGGGAACTAAGACCCTGCAAGGTGTATGGAGTGGGCTGTCTGTCATAGGTCAAGTCTAGAGAAAACTTGAAGGAATGAAAAGGGGGAAACTTACCACACTTTGGTGCCACTTTGAAGTCTTATTTCCCAATCTTTCTACTACTGTTTTCTGTTCGGAGTCCTCATGTGGCCTCCCCATGTATTTCATTCTGGTTTTATAGCTGCGTCCAGTGGGCGAGGAGAGTGTCCGTCCGTCCCCTCTGAGCTAGGGCTGGCTCTGACCCTGTAGCCCCGCACTCTGCACAACACCCTCTGTGGCAGGTATGGCACCATCTTCTCTGAATTTACTTCACGACTGAGGGCAAGCATACTTTTTTATATTTATGTGTTATCTCATATATCTTTGTTAATTTTTTTCATGTATCATTCATATTTGATTCAGCCCCTTTCCCTCACCCTAAATTTTTTAATTTGTTTATATCCTCTGGGGGGGGTGTGTATGTCGTGAAAAATCTTTATATTTGTACATAAACAAATCAGTCTTTCTTTGCTTACATTTGGATTTTGAATTATATATAGAAAGCCTGTTTCCACACCCAGGTTATGAAGATACTCACATATTGTTTCTCTGGGTATTTGTATAGTTTTAGTTGTTTAATATTTAGTTTATTCTCAGGTATGATGTATGGATGCATGGGTATGGATCCAATTTTGACTTTTTCTAAGTAGTCACTTATTTGTTCACAAACCAATTATTTTTTAAAGGTTCATCTTTGCTCCAGTGAGTAGAGATTCTGCCTTTATCATACACTAAATTTCCATATGTTCTTGGGTATATTTCTGGTCTTTTTATTCTAGTTCATTTGATTGTCCATTCACAGGACAGTAACATACTGTTTAAATTTTTTCTTCTTAGAAGTTATATTTTAACCTCTGGTAGTGTGAATTACTCCCACAACTTAATTCTTTTCCTAACTGATCTTGAATGTTTTTGTTTACCTGTCTTTCAACTTGTCCAATTGAAAAAAAGACCACTGTTATTTTTATGGTAATCACATTAATTAAAAATCTTATAAATTAGAAAGAACTGACATTTTAATGATATTTAGAGTAAGGAGTGTTTTTACAGTTGTTCAAAGCTACTGCTGCATCTTTTGGGAGTTTGTTGAATTTTCCTCCTCTAGATTTTGCATATTTTTAGTCAGATTTATTTTTAAATATTAGGTCCCTCTTCTCCAATAGTAAATAAAAACTTCTCTCCTGTTGCAGCCTCTGGTCGTCTATCGCCTGTGTATAAAATGGCTATGATTTTCACTTCAGTTTCATATTCTACTAACTTATTGTATGATTTTTATTGATTTTTCTAGTTTTACCATTGATTTTTTTAGGGTTTTTAGTTGCAATAGAGATTGTAATTCCCACATTCTCTTGCCTCTACTCGTTTTCCTTGTTTATTTTCATTTGCTTGTGTCTCAAATACAACATTAGGAAGTACTGATCCTTCTGTCCAGCACCTTTGTATGACTGTCTCCAGCACCTTCCTATACAGTTAAACTCCTGCCTCCAGGGCTGATACACACAGTCATGTTATTGTATAATATGCTGTTGAGTTTGGTTTGTTAATATTTTACTTTATTTAAGGTTGTTGAACTGATCCACAAGATGCTCTAATTTCCTTTTTTAGTATAGTCATCAGGTTTAGCTATCAGTATTATGCTTGCTTTGTAAAAGGAACTTGGAAATTTTACTTTTTGGGTCAAATTTGGTAATCTGTATTTTTCAGTAGGGAATACTTCATTGCATCTGAATATTCATACCTATTCCATGCAATGACTCTTCGGTGACAATTCAATCAACTCTGCTAAAGTGATTTATACCCAAGAAAAAGCACCCCGTTGAAGTGGACAGTTTGTTGAGCTTGACAAATGTAAACACCGATAGAGCCAGCATCACAGTCAAGACAGCTTGCTAGTTCCTCAGTTTTGTGGATCTTCTCTATTTCATTTTGGTTTCCTATTTCACTAACTCACACTCTTGGCCTAATTTTGATTTCTTTTGGTTTAATTTTTCTTTTTCCAGCTTCTAGATTTAAGCACATGGTTTCTTGATGTCTCAGCACATCTTCTTTCATAACATAAGCCTGTAATCTATCCATTTTCCTCACATTGCCCACTTTCTTTTTAAAATAGAGGTTTGTCCTGATTTTATTATCCTTCAGTTGAAGGAATTAAAAAAAAATAATATTATAATTCCCTGTTTAACAGATGAACTAATGAAATGTAACAATTCAGAAATAGTTGGGATTTAAAAGTTTATCTTCTTTGTTATAGATGTTTAGTTTAAGTGGATATGGTCAGAGAACATGGCCTGTGGGGTAATTTATTGTTAAATGATAAAAATCTGGACATTTGGAACAACGTGAGCATATGAGACTGTTCTGTTCAAGGTTGGGCAGAAGACCTTGGTGGGGTTGGAGGCGGGGGTCAGGTTGTGAAGGAGAGCAGAGTCCTTCGGGCTCTGCGGCGTGTGGCGTTCACACGCGGCCTGACCCATGGCTGGACCACACGCGGCGGGTGAGAACTCGCAGTGCTCGGGTCTCTCTTTAGGGCACAGGAGTGGAAGCGGTGGCAGGATGCCCCCACACAGGCGCTCCCTCCTTGGTCTTCACAGTCCCTCCCCTGCCTCCTTCTCAGAGCCCCGACCTCTTGCGGGCCATCTGGGGGACACCCAGGTTCCATCAGTGGGATCAGGCCCCACGACAGGACTAGGACAGGGAGAACCCTGCAGGCAGATCCGGTGAAGAGAGGTCAGGGGATGGGGAATCTATGAACGTTGGCTCACCAAATCCATTTTATAGTTAAAGTTAAGGTAGTACAAACTAGGATAATCAGAAACTCAATTATGAATGACGTGGGGCAGAAGGGAAAGGCAAGGCGTAATCAGATGGAGACAGCACTGGGCACATCTGAGTGTCGGCACGAAGCTGGACACCTGCTGGAGTGGAGGCTGTAGCCGGATTTGAGTTTCCCAACAGAGACTGTGAAAAAAGACTCCAGTGGCCAAAGAATTTGCAGCAAAAATCCTGAAGCTGAGGATGGCTACAGTGGTGCCTGCACCTTGGCGCAGAGCAGCTTTGGGTTGGGTGGCCACGTGTTGCTAGGCCCCTGGGGAAAGCGGGAAGGTGTGGTGTCAGGAGGCTTGTGACCCAGCATTATCTCAGGTCAGAGGGACTGGGGGAAGCCGCGTGGTTGAGGACGGCTCCAGCTTCCTCTCAACCCACCTGCTCAGCCACCATGAGACTCACTGCTCAAGAATACCTTTTTCATGTGGTTGTCAATCATCTTCATCTTTCCTTCACTCATTCTTTACTCATTTATCCATTTATTCAGGAAAGTTTCTGATTTCTAGCTGAGAGTGTGCCCAGAAGGCCTACAGTCCCAGGTACCCTGTACAGAACAGAGGCCAGGATGCTCAGCCCTCAAGGCGCCCCTCTCCATGGAGAGGGAAGCAAAGACTGGCTTGCACAGCGGGCAGTGGGGAGACAGGGCATGGTGGCCTCTGACCCAGGCCACACACACAGATCCTAGTGTGGAGGGAAGACCCCAGCTCTACCGGGTGACAGTTTCCCTTCTGCACTGGCCTCGTGGGCCTGCCTAAACTCAGGAAGTGAGACTCCTTAAGCCTCAGTGGGCCAGGAACCTCACGCGGGGAGACGGGAGCAGTAGATGGTGACCAGTCTGCTTGGCCAGCCCAGGGGACCTGACGGGGTTTAAATTCAGCATGAAAATACAGGCCCTGAGTGGAGGGGAGAGAGGCCCCTCTTTAAGGTGGGCATTCTGGGACTCTCATCCAAAGACCTCCGGGTCACCCCAACCACAGAGGTCTGCTGAGAGCTGGCCGAAGAGCTGGAATCTGGGCACAGCGGGTAGAGATGAGGAGGAGGCAGGAGGGGGTGTGGTCAAGCAATGACTTTATTGTCCCTGGAAGGAGTGACGGTCATGGTCCCCCTGTAGGACTTTGCCTGAGCCAGGGACAGAGGTGGCCAGGATGGTGGGTGTGGAGGGACTGAGAGCACAGAGCAGGTCAGAGCCAGAGCCAGATCCAGAGCCACCCTCTGGCTTTCCCCACCTCTTTTCCCACAACACCGGGGTCTGGACCATCCATTCAGGGCAGGGGCTGTTACCCCAAGCTGAGAAATGTGCATTCCCCACTCCCCTCCAACACAGCGGGGGCTACAATCCCAGGCTGTGTGAGTGAAGGGCCCCTGCTGGGGGCAGGAGAGGTGGTCAGGCCCATGGTGAGGTGATGGCACCTCCGACCACCTCAGGGGCATGTCCCACCCAGGGTCTCGAGAGCGACGGGGGCAGGGTGCGCTTTGGGCTGAGGGAAGGTGCTCACAGCAGGACCCAGAGGAGGCTGAGGCCCGCCTGAAGCAGGAGCCCCCGGGAGAGGGCCCAGGGGCCCTCCTGCGGGGCGGGGGCCCCGTTGCAAAGAGATCTGGAGCAGCACTGCCGGACAATCTTGCTGAGCTCCCTGGAGTCCGACAGCCATTTGAACTCCATGTTGGTGTTGGGGCACCTGGGGGCACAGCGCTTGCTGAGCAGGGTCTTCACCCGTAGTCCTGTGGGGAAGGGGACAGCATCCAGGAGAAGAGCCCAGGGTGGGCGGCGAAGGCCAGTCCCCAAGCGGGCACTGACACCTTCTCCTGACCCTTTCACAGGCCAGGCTCTGCGAAGCACTGGGAGCACAGCTGCCCAAGGTCACCTTCAAGGTCACAGCAAAGGCAAGGTTCAGGGCTGCTGGCCCTGGTCTGGGCTTTTCCCTGAAACCATGCACAGCCTGGACACCCAGGCAGCCAGGGGCCTGGGAGTTCTGGGGAGATGGGGGAAGCTGAGCAGAGAGAAAAGGGAGGGCGACCGGAGAGCTAGTTGTTCCCAGCTGGGGCTTCTGTCCCCCGTTCACTCAGAGATGTGCAGAGACCTTGGAAGGAAGCTCCGGAGGGAAGCAGGACACTCAGAACAACCCAGTTGAAGAAGAAAAGGTTGTCTTGGAGGAGACCTCCTCCTCATGCTGTGTTGTTGTGTTGTGTGTGCGTGTGTGCTGTATCTATTGCATGCATGGTATTCACTATGTTGAACCTTATTGTACTGTATATATGACAAGTGCACGGGGCCTCCCAGGTGGTGCTAGTGGTAAAGAATCCACCTGCCAATGCAGGAGATGCAAGAGACTCGGGTTACATCCCTGAGTCAGGAAGGTCCCCCTGGAGTAGGAAATGCCAACCCACTCCAGTATTCCTGCCTGGAGAATTCAAGACAGAAGAGCCTGGCGGTCTGCAGTCCCTGGGGTCGCAAAGAGTCAGACACAACTGAGCGGCTGAGCACGCACGCATATGACAACTGTATGCATTGCCTTACATCATATCATGGGCTGCCAAGTGGCACATGGTTTAGTGACACCCCAGAGAAGGAGAGAGACTGGCCAGCCCTCTCCAGAAGCCCGCTCCAGAAGCCCCCAGGCTCAACCTTGAGCAGCTGGCCCCTCCCCTGTGCTCAGGATGGGGATCAGGCAAAGGCGGGTGCAGGCCGGGGTCCCCTGAGGGGAGCCTCCATCAGTTCCCCACTCAGACCCCAAAAGATCCAGTGCCAAGTTCCCGGAGTCCCCCTCCGTGCTGGCCAAGTACTCACTCAGGGTGATGATCAACTTGTGGGAGACGCAGACCTGGTCAGTGGAGGAGCACGCTGTAGGCAAGCAAAACTCCGGGCTCCTGACCTTGAAGCACTGGTAGCAGCTCAGGTTCTTCCCTGCGGGGTAGCACCGGCGCGGAGGAGCGCGCTGCGCACCCGCCCAGCTAAGGGCCGTCACCGTGGGATGTGCCCGCCACCCCCAGGAGCCCCCGCGGCCGACAGGGCCATCCTTACCTGGCTCTCTGACTCCGCCAGCAGGGTCCAAAGACAGCAGCAGAGCCCACAGGGCTAGAACTAGCGCCCCCATGACACCACCAGCTTAGCCTTACGGGGAGTGGAGGAGGGAGGCGGGGCAGAGAAGAAGGCTTTGCCCAGAGCTCCCCAAGTCACCCGCCCATCCTCTGGGTCTCTCCTCTCTGGACCCCCTCATTTGAGGTCAATCAGATCCTAGTTCAATGGGACGCTCTCTGCCATCCTGACCCCTCCTCCCGCCCCTTCCCTTCCCAACTGCAGGGAACTGCCCTTCCAGGAAAGTCAGCCCTGCTCTGGGGAGGGTCTCCTGGGGTCCGTGAGGATGGCCGCTTCCTGCTGGAGCAGAAAGGGGAGAGGGGTTTAGGGAAGGCGTCTCCCCCGTGGCTCACCCCCTCCGTCAGGCTCCACCCTGTAACAAACCCTCCAACCTCACCTGGAGACCGGATGCTCTCGGGGGCCCTGCCTGAGTCCAGGCGTGGCAGGAGATGCTGCCCTCTTCTCTGACTCCCGGGGACCCAGTCTCCAGAGGCTGCACCCTGAATGCAGAGCCAAAGCCCAGAGGCTCTCACCTGGGTGTCTGGTAGCTAGGTGGGTTTTCACACCACTTCCTGCCTGCATGTTTCCCCAGGCCCTTTCTTTTTTCCTTCTTGCCTTTATTTCTTTTGATCATGCCCCGCTGAGCACCTGTGAGGAGCAGGCGGGCAGGGTGTGGGTCTTGGATCTGGATTTGCAGCAGGGGAAATGCCTGCCTCCAGGGGTCCAGCAGGAGAGTGGGTAGAAGGACAAAGGGGGTGACTACTAGGCAAAAGGGGGTTGAGAGGGGCTGCCTCTGGCCCCCAAGTGACTTCTGCGACACCTCCACCAGCAACTACCGGGCCTCAGCACCCCCTTCAGGCCCAGTTTCCCGTCACCGCAGGGAGGGGATGTGCTGGCTGTTGACAAGGGTGTGCAGCTGGTTGGGATCATTTCCCCTCCCAGTAGTCCAACCAGGACTGTCCCCCGCCCCGTCTTGCCTGGCAGGTCCCAGCCTCCACGTCTGGGCTGGTGGAGCACCCAGAGACTCCGGTCCCTTTACTGGGCACCGCTCCAGCCCCTCTAGCTGTCCTGCCTTTGGCCGGGTGTGGGCCGGGCTTGGAGGTGGGCCCAGAAAGGGTGGGACTGGACCCGCCTGGGGCGCGGATCTTGGTTTACATTGCTTGTTTATTTGTTTGCCCTTTCATGCAGTGATCCAATTGAATGTGAGTCTGGGACCTCAAACCGCAGGGTGGTGTTGGATGTGGGTGTGATTAAGCAGGCTGGGTGGGCGTGGGGTGGGCGTGGGGTGGGCGGCCCGGGACAGCTTTGCACGACTCCACGCCTCAGGGTAGTCTCGAGTTAAAGCCTTGGCCCCACTGGTTAAGGGTGAGTCACCACCTGTGAGCTCATGTTTCGGCAAGGTCCTTTCTTCTGGGCCGGGGACGCAGGTCCTGGGGCCAGGGAGGTCTCTGCCCCCAGCGATGTTTCTGCCTTCGTCTGCTGCCCCCGCAGCCCGGGGGCAGGCTCCCTGGACGGCTCCCTGGTACTGCCGGCTGAGAGCAGTGGGAGACGCATCCTTTCTTCCGAAGCAGACAAGTCGGGGCGGGGGGAGGTGACACCCTTGGCAGGCTTGGTGGCACATGGAAAGAAGGGAGGGAGAAGGGGAAGTTCAGAGCTGCGGCAGCCAGAGAGACTCTCGATGTTGGTGGACATCCACCCCTCCCACCACTCGAGCGCGGACGCAGGGGCAGCTGCACTTCACCGCGCAGCCGGACGAGGGCGACCCCGCGCCTGCAGGCGAATCTGCAGCGCGCGAATCTGCGGGGAGAAGAAGATAAATCCTTGCTCTTGGAAAATGTCCCCGACATCCAACTAGGGAGCAGAATAAAACTCTCCTGCCCGAATTAAAACATTTGAAAGTGTGAAGGAGCACCTTGCATCAGAACAACAATAGGCAATGAAAAGAAGACGAGATGAAAAATGACGGACGTGAGGAACGACTGGAGGAAAATCTCCATTTATGGTCTCCGTAAGTAGACCAGCTTAGAAGTGAGCTCACACTTACGAGTTCCAAGGGGGCAGGCACGTGAGACCCTAAGTTGGAAGCTGTAGCATGAGGGCCGGCAAGCAAGAGGACAAAACGACCTAACTTCAAACTAAAAGTGCTCACCTGTTCTGGAAAAATGACCCAGAAAAGTGAGCGCTAAGACTACGCTAGTAAAAAATGTAAAAGATACAGAAGCACCCTTTAGTGCAACCCCCCCCCCCACCATATATGTAAAGAGAGAAAAAAAAAAAAAGGTTGATATCAGACTTCTCAAGATGCAGAAATTATTAAAAGAAGAAAAACTCAAGAAAATAAAATTTGAGCCAAGTATTTTAAATATAGTCAATGATATAATCAAGCATCAAAACTATAAGAAAAGGTTTTAAAAACTTGAAGTTTGATTTTTTTAGTAAAAGGGGAAAAAATGACGATACACGAATTCAAATTCCCAATTCAAAAGTCCTGGAGGGGCAGGGAGGAGCCAAAGCCAGCAGAAGAGAGTATGGGAAAGAAGGTCATCAGGCTGGAAGCGGAAGCAGATGGTGCAGAGACCACCACCCAGACATGACTAATAAAGCGAAAGCTCGGCTCTCTGAAAACCTGAAAGAACTAGATAAGCGACTGACTAACCTAAGCAATAAAGAGGGGCAGTACAAATATACAAATAATAAACACTGAGTGAAGCAGTTATTGAAAGACAAAATTTTAAATGATAACAGACTATTTCATATACCCTTAAGCAAATGTGGGGCCTCAGATGAGGTGGATAACTACCTAGGAAAATACGCTTAGGCAAAATTTATCCCAGTTGAGAGAAAAGCTTTAAGAGATCAATTTCAGTATAAAATAAACATAATAAGAAACTATCCCAGAACAAATGGCCCGGATCAGATTATTTCACAATCTGAAATAATTCTACAAAATTCACAAATTCTACAAAATCTTCAAAGACAAACTATTCCTAATGACACAGACTGTTTTGAGAACATAAAAGAGAATTCCAAATTATTTTAGTAAAGCCAGTATAATATTGATAACCAACCTAATAAAAATTGTAAAAAGAAAGACAATTACAAACCAACATCTTTTATCATTGCAAAAATCTTAAAGAAATATTAACAAACAGAATCCAACAGTACATCAAGAAAACACACGAAGAAAAAGTAGGATATATTACTAGGATTCAGATAGTTAAATATCACAGAATTTGTTAATACAATTCATCCTTTTAATAGATATGAAAATAAATGTCATAGGATTAAATCTATAGACTTTGAAGTATCTTGGAATAGACTGATTATCCTTTAATTAAAAATATTCAAGAAAAATATAATCTCTTAAAGTCATCACCTTATAAGAAAAGTATTCCCATCACTATTTGAAATTCAGCCAGTATTCACTGATATAATTATAAAATATTAATTGGAGGCTTCAGAATGGGGAAAGAAGTAAAATCAGGTCCATCTGTAGATGAGGTGGTAGTATACCTGGAAATCCTGGAGAATAAAGAATACAAATAACAAATTTAGAAAACAATCAGTAAAGAGTCAGGATGCAAGGTAAACATATAAAACTCAGTGGCCGTCAGAGGGCGTCCGGGGTGTGTCAGGACGGAGGAGGCCGGCAGACACGTTCTACCGCGGGACCAAGAAGACAATACCAGGCAGGTTGCAGCTGTCATCTTTAAATGTGCTGGGGAGCTGAGAGGACCAAGGACCAAGTGGATTGGCTTCCAGAAGTGGGGAGCCGAGCCTCCGCGGCCCCCAGCCCCGTCCTGCGGGGGCCTCGCCAGCCACCACCCCGACTGTACCCAAATACCCGGCCGAGCGGCGGAGTCGTCTACGCATGCTCCGTTCTGGGAAAGCGCCGCGGCACACGCGCAGAGTCCCGCATGCTGGCGGTGGTACCCAGGGCGGGCCGTGTATAAGGACGACGGGCACCTGCGGCGGTCCCACCGCTCTCAGGACCAAGTTCCCACCGGAGGAAAGAGGTCTGCTCCGAACACATGGCTGATCTTGCTCTGAAGAGACTCGACAGTCTGAAGTTAAGGCAGCAGGAGTTGGCAGTGCGAGGCTTAAGGGCACGAAGGTGCGGAAATGCGTCTGCCACACTTTCCGGGACGAGGAGAGGGCCTGCTGAGCCTCTGCTGGAAGCCTGTGAGGAGAGGGATGGGAGGTCAGATGCGCCTTCCTAACTCTGGGGTCCAGCCCAACCTAGCTCGACTCTGATGGAGATGACCTGGAGAACACCTCGTGCACTTGATCTGGTAAAAGGGGAAACTAGAGACCTTCTAGTACTCGTGGCCTCTGGCTCTTATTTATACAACGCCGGAAGGTGACAGTAACAATAGGGGGAAAGATCCAGGGATGATCCAGATAATGGAGTCAGCAGGAAAGGACTTTATGTTAAGTGTGTTCAATAGTAGACTTGAAAAACTGAGAGTTTAAACAGAGAATAGGACTTTATAAAACAAATAGAAAAAAAATATACCATGTATTGGCCAGGATTTTCCAGAGAAGCAGAACCAATAGAATGTGTATGTAAACAAAAAGTTTATTTTAAGGATGGGGCTCATGACTTTAGGGAGGCTGCAAGTTAAAAAACTCCAGGGTGGGCTGTGTTGGGGAGCAAAAAATTTTCCTCTACACTTCTGGCTAGCCTAAGAATTGAATTGACATGAGACAGATGAACAGGAGATCAAACAGAAGTGTAGTGCCACATCTACATGGGAGAGACCCAGGGAAGCTGAGTAACTCACTGAAGTGGCTGAAGCCCTCACCTTAATACCATCCTCAGCCAGAGAAAAACACGGGTTGTTGAAGGCAGGGAGAGTCAGTTAAGGGGGGTCGA